TTGTGAACTTGTGTCAGAATAAAATATTGGAAAATGCTTTTTACTGGTGTTCACAGGAAACAGCCCCGGCGGGCCAACACCCTTTTTCAAAAAAAAAAAAAAGCTTGTAAATAGAACATTTGGATTTGACCATGTGCATGAAGAAACTTGTTTTAAATATATATCCCTTTGCCATACCTGCACACAGGGCCATGGACTGGATTTTTTTTTTTTTAAATATTAGTCTAAATCAGAGACATTTGGTCATTTACAGAGGCTTAAAAATTCATATTTGCCTCATTCAAGTGATTCTCATTTAATTTCTATTGAATTAAAAATAGTAGATCAAGTGACTTCACCACATAACTGTCCAAAAAATTGTCTGCGCTTTCTCCACCCCATAGCTGGGTTAAAGGATAAATTACTTTTTTTCCAAGTGTATCTTAACACAATGCTCACATTGCCATATATATACACTGCTTGCTGTAACTGCTCCTCCTCTTCCTTCCTAAAGTGATTTCTTGTTAACTCTCGTTGATCTTTTTACACTAATTGAGGAATGTGACGTTATCTCCCCATCATTTCTGAAGTTGCTTTATGGGGGTGGTACCTCTAAACCTGCTCCCAGGTTTAGTCAGTTAGTTGGGATATTTATTGGAACACAAATTCATTTAGGAAAATGCACCATTTCAGAAAATATATACTAAAAATAATAAAGGTGTTTAGATTTTGGCACAGGGAAGGGCCACCAGGTTATGTAACAGATTACACAGTGGGCATTTTAGCTTTGTCATAGCACAAAAAGCTGTACATGTGAACATTAAAAACGACTATAACTGGACTAATAGTGCTACTTATGTGCAGGTATTTAAGGTCCTGTGAATGAGTTATACCCCCATTTAAGTTTTTAAGTTAAAATTTGTAATTTCTAAATATATTCTATTTTGAATGTACTGTTGTAGTCTATACATCTTTTGTACATGACTTGGAAAATAACAGTTATTTAAAAAAAAAAAAAGAAAGAAAGAAAGAAAAAAAGACATTTAATTTGGGTGAGTCAGTTTCATGATCCTGGCACTGCAAATACTGGCTCATCAGCATGGTTTACTGCAGCACTTGATGTAACTGAGCCATGTTAATGAAATGCATTTCACCTTTGCTTTCCTGTTATGACAAGTTAAAAACTGTTACCTGTTTTTAGGACCTCAGTGAAGTTGCCTGCTTTGGCTTGCTGGTAATGTAATCCAGTCTTATTTAACTCCATCAGAGAAGTTAAAGAAAACTGTTGATTTGCTGTGTATATCCATTTGTATATCTCTTTATTTGTCTTTACCTGAGAATAGTTTAAAATAATGGTGCTGTGGAAAAAATTATGGCATCAAAATCCCACTGCTAAACTTTAATTTAATTTTTTAAGGACAGTATCTGTGCGTCCCTACTAGACCTATTTCACTGAAGACATTGTGACATGTCTCAGTAGAAACGCACAGGTGTACATAATGAAATTAACGATGCTTAATTTAATTCAGCTGCTTCAGTTTCAGTGTCCCTGTAGTGTGCGTGCTGGCTCACTGCTCACTTACTGAGACGCTCACCACGTGTGCCTTTCCTACAATGACAAGTCAAAATGTCTGCTGTGACGAACACCAAGTGTAGCTACAGTCTGCCCATCATCCTTAACAGTTAACCCTTAAATTTTAGTTATTTTCTTTAAATGTTGACACAAACCTGTGTTTAAAATAAAAATCAGCCAGCAGCGTAAAAAACAAAACAGGAAAAACTTTTAATTAAGCAAGCTTACAGTTACAGGCTATGTTTATGTGATTAGGGGAAGGTGCCACATTGATGTTGGTGACATGTGATGTATGCATTTTCAAAATTAAAGTTTAATACAAGAAAATGCTCCTCCTCTGTTTACTGTACGTCACAGACAGTTTGTCTCTCTTACCAGAAAATCCCTCTGCTGTCTAAGAGGTACCTGCCTTTGGTCTCAGTGCATGAAACATACAACAAAGAACTGACAAGTTAAAACATACTGAAGAAACAAAATAAACATCGACAAAAATAAAGTAACATATTTATCATAAAGATGTTCTTTCCTGGTATGAAATCAAATCCAAAATGTACAACATAACTGGCAGAACTAGACCAAGGAAACTTATCAGCCGAAGGTTCATCTGTTTCTGTGAAAATAAAGCCATTGTTTTCAGTTTGTTCATGCATTTGCCGATTTGAGACACCGGAGTCCTTATCCATGCATGTTACTTCTAGAGAACTGTGACATACAACTACGCCTTCACCTTTTTCTGAAATATTAATGATAATAATTATAAACTCACACACACATACACACACAATCATACTTTTCAAACCAACTTCCTCACTCAAAAAGTTTGAGCCAGTTGGTGCTTAGGAGCAAGATCAAGAGCAGAACTGCACGTGATGTGGAAATAAGGAGGTTAAAAAATAATAAATTTTGAAGCAAATTGGGTGGATGCTGGGATGATAGCATGAAGGTAACGTGGATAGGCTGGTTACCTACAATGTTCCCATCCATCAACTGAAATTATATTACATATCCTCCACCCGCTACTTCTCCACTGCAGTTCCACACACACCCACTTCCATCCTTCACTCCATTGCTCTCCCTGCTATCACTGCACCGCCTGTTCGTTGGCAGTGCTACCGGAGTCCTGAGGCTTCATCACATCAGGGAGTCTTGGGGGCTGGAGAAGGCCTCAATGTGCAGCTGCTCAAACATCTCATCTGGAGGGCAGAGGAGACAAGGAAACATTAGCTCCGTCTTGACGAGAGAGTTGCACATGTCTAAATCAGTCATATCGCAACACCATTTCTGTGAACATTTACTGTGGCAAGTAGTTCTGGGTGAATATGCATCAACTTTAGTTGTTGCTCAAGTAAACAAAAGTTAAATTAGTCTAGTTAATGCACTCAAATTTGGAGTTGAATATTTAAGCCACAGTTTTGAGTCCAGGGGAATTTTATCACGTTAACTAGTTCAATCTCTTTTCTGACCATGAGGACCGTGCGCCAACCCCAGCGCCACGGTCCGGGCGGGCGTCCGCGCCGGTCCGTCGCTCGAAGGGCTACCTGGTTGATCCTGCCAGTAGCATATGCTTGTCTCAAAGATTAAGCCATGCAAGTCTAAGTACACACGGCCGGTACAGTGAAACTGCGAATGGCTCATTAAATCAGTTATGGTTCCTTTGATCGAGTGTGAATATTTTCAGACTGGCAGCTAAAATTGATTGGAATGGTTTTGGTAAATCCAAAAGGATTTAGTTTTGTTTGGAAGTAAAAAAAAAAAAAAAAAAAAAAGAAAAGAAAGAAAGATGATTTATCTGAATATGAATCATATTCAAACTACATTCAGAGACAGTCTAAAATCTAATATCACACTGACATTTGATTTAAACTGTTCCTTAATCACTCACAATGCACCACACTCAGTGATGTCACTACCAGTGCACCAGTCAGCTGAATGTGACCTTAATACAAACCATGGCAGGATATATTTACTTTCTGTCATGTTTTGTGCATTATGAACTTCTGTACAATGTAAACAATATGACATTGAGCGGAGATATATTTATCATTTAACTGATGGTGACTGAGACACCACAGACTTACAGAACATTTCAAACAGCTATGGCTTTAGGCAACACAACATTTTGCAACAATGATTGAAAGTCATACAAGGAAAAAATCCATTGCAGAAGAGGCAGCAATATCAATTTTTCAAGCTTTCGTAATGCATTTTTTTAAAGATACAGCACAATTCCAATTTCTGTCAAGTGGAAAAACTCTTTCCGCTCAATGTCATATTGTTTACACTTGTACAGAAGTTCATAATGCACAAAACATGACAGGAAAGTAAAAATATATCCTGCCCATGCGTTTGCTATTTAAGTCAACATTCAGCTGGACTGGTGCACTGGTTAGTGACATCCTGAGTGTGGTGCATTGTGAGACTGACTAAGGAACAGTTTAAATCAAATGTCAGTGTGATATTAGATTTTTAGACTGGTCTCTGAATGTAGTTTGAATATGATTCATACTTCAGATAAAAGCTTCTTTCGTTCCTTTTTTTTTTTTTTTTTTTTACTTCCCAAAACAGAACTAAATCCTTTTTGGATTTACCCAAAAAACCATTCCAATCAATTTTAGCGGCCAGTCGGGAAATATTCCACAAATGAGAGCGATCAAAGGAACCATAACTGATTTAATGAGCCATTCGCAGTTTCACTGTACCGGCCGTGTGTACTTAGACTTGCATGGCTTAATCTTTGAGACAAGCATATGCTACTGGCAGGATCAACCAGGTAGCCCCCTTCGAGCGACGGACCGGCGCGGACGCCCGCCCGGACCGTGCGCTGGGGTTGGCGCACGGTCCTCACTGGTCCAGAAAAGAGATTGAACTAGTTAACGTGATAAAATTCCCCTGGACTCAAAACTGTGGCTTAAATATTCAACTCCAAATTTGAGTGCATTAACTAGACTAATTTAACTTTTGTTTACTTGAGCAACAACTGAAGTTGATGCATATTCACCCAGAACTACTTGCCACAGTAAATGTTCACAGAAATGGTGTTGCGATATGACTGATTTAGACATGTGCAACTCTCTCGTCAAGACGGAGCTAATGTTTCCTTGTCTCCTCTGCCCTCCAGATGAGATGTTTGAGCAGCTGCACATTGAGGCCTTCTCCAGCCCCCCAGAACTCCCTGATGTGATGAAGCCTCAGGACTCCGGTAGCACTGCCAACGAACAGGCGGTGCAGTGATAGCAGGGAGAGCAATGGAGTGAAGGATGGAAGTGGGTGTGTGTGGATTAACTGCAGTGGAGAAGTAGCGGGGTGGAGGATATGTAATATAATTTCAGTTGATGGATGGGAACATTGTAGGTAACCAAGCCTATCCACGTTACCTTCATGCTATCATCCCAGCATCCACCCAATTTGCTTCAAAAATTATTATTTTTTAACCTCCTTATTTCCACATCACGTGCAGTTCTGCTCCTTGATCTTGCTCCTAAGCACCAACTGGCTCAAACTTTTTGAGTGAGGAAGTTGGTTTGAAAAGTATGATTGTGTGTGTATGTGTGTGTGAGTTATTATAATTATTATCATTAATATTTCAGAAAAGGTGAAGGCGTAGTTGTATGTCACAGTTCTCTAGAAGTAACATGCATGGATAAGGACTCCGGTGTCTCAAATCGGCAAACTGCATGAACAAACTGAAAACAATGGCTTTATTTTCACAGAAACAGATGAACCTTCGGCTGATAAGTTTCCTTGGTCTAGTTCTGCCAGTTATGTTGTACATTTTGGATTTGATTTCATACCAGGAAAGAACATCTTTATGATAAATATGTTACTTTTATTTGTTGTCGATGTTGTCATTTTGTTTCTTCAGTATGTTTTACTTGTCAGTTCTTTGTTGTATGTTTCATGCACTGAGACCAAAGGCAGGTACCTCTTAGACAGCAGAGGGATTTTCTGGTAAGAGGACAAACTGTCTGTGACGTACAGTAAACACAGGAGGAGCATTTTCTTGTATTAAACTTTAATTTTGAAAATGCATACATCACATGTCACCAACATCAATGTGGCACCTTCCCCTAATCACATAAACATAGCCTGTAACTGTAAGCTTGCTTAATTAAAAGTTTTTCCTGTTTTGTTTTTTACGCTGCTGGCTGATTTTTATTTTAAACACAGGTTTGTGTCAACATTTAAAGAAAATAACTAAAATTTAAGGGTTAACTGTTAAGGATGATGGGCAGACTGTAGCTACCATTGGTGTTCGTCACAGCAGACATTTTGACTTGTCATTGTAGGAAAGGCACACGTGGTGAGCGTCTCAGTAAGTGGTGACAGTGAGCCAGCACGCACACTACAGGGACACTGAAACTGAAGCAGCTGAATTAAATTAAGCCATCGTTAATTTCATTATGTACACCTGTGCGTTTCCTACTGAGACATGTCACAATGTCTTCAGTGAAATAGGTCTAGTAGGGACGCACAGATACTGTCCTTAAAAAATTAAATTAAAGTTTAGCAGTGGGATTTTGATGCCATAATTTTTTCCACAGCACCATTATTTTAAACTATTCTCAGGTAAAGACAAATAAAGAGATATACAAATGGATATACACAGCAAATCAACAGTTTTCTTTAACTTTCTGATGGAGTTAAATAAGACTGGATTACATTACCAGCAAGCCAAAGCAGGCAACTTCACCGAGGTCCTAAAAACCCCAGGTAACAGTTTTTAACTTGTCATAACAGGAAAAGCAAAGGTGAAACGCATTTCATTAACGATGGCTCAGTTACATCAAGTGCTGCAGTAAACCATGCTGATGAGCCAGTATTTGCAGTGCCAGGATCATGAAACTGACTCACCCAAATTAAATGTCTTTTTTTCTTTCTTTCTTTCTTTTTTTTTTTTAAATAACTGTTATTTTCCAAGTCATGTACAAAAGATGTATAGACTACAACAGTACATTCAAAATAGAATATATTTAGAAATTACAAATTTAATAACTTAAAAACTTAAATGGGGGTATAACTCATTCACAGGACCTTAAATACCTGCACATAAGTAGCACTATTAGTCCAGTTATAGTCGTTTTTAATGTTCACATGTACAGCTTTTTGTGCTATGACAAGCTAAAATGCCCACTGTGTAATCTGTTACATAACCTGGTGGCCCTTCCCTGTGCCAAAATCTAACACCTTTATTATTTTAGTATATATTTTTCTGAAATGGTGCATTTTCCTAAATGAATTTGTGTTCCAATAAATATCCCAACTAACTGACTAAACCTGGGAGCAGGTTTAGAGGACTACCCCCCCATAAAGCAACTTCAGAAATGATGGGGGAGATAACGTACATTCCTCAATTAGTGTAAAAAGATCAACGAGAGTTAACAAGAAATCACTTTAGGAAGGAAGAGGAGGAGCAGTTACAGCAAGCAGTGTATATATATGGCAATGTGAGCATTGTGTTAAGATACACTTGGAAAAAAAGTGAATTTATCCTTTAACCCAGCTATGGGGTGGAGAAAGCGCAGACAATTTTTTGGACAGTTATGTGGTGAAGTCACTTGATCTACTATTTTTAATTCAATAGAAAATTGAAAAGAGATCACTTGAATGAGGCAAATATGAATTTTTAAGCCTCTGTAAAATGACCAAATGTCTCTGATTTAGACTAATATTTAAAAAAAAAAAAAAAAATCCAGTCCATGGCCTGTGTGCAGGTATGGCAAAGGGATATATATTTAAAACAAGTTTCTTCATGCTCAAGGTCAAATCCAAATGTTCTATTTTCAAGCTTTTTTTTTTTTTTTTGAAAAGGGTGTTGGCCCGCCGGGGCTGTTTCCTGTGAACACCAGTAAAAAGCATTTTCCAATATTTTATTCTGACACAAGTTCACAAGTGCATCGTCGCAGCAGCAGCTCGCAGCGCCTCGAAATCCTTAAATTTGTCTCCCAAATATGGACTAGGAATGTCCAGGATGACGTCTTGTGTCCGGGGTATGCGGGGTTTGTAACCACATTTATTTAACTACGCCTTCTCCGGTCTGAGGTCCTGGTAGGCATTACACAGGAAGACAGTCGTGTAGGAAAAAGAAACGGGACGCCCTCCTCCGCCTCCTCCTCCTCCTCTTCCTCCTCCTCCTTCTCCTCCTCCTCCTCTCTCGGCGGATAACGGTGTCCCAAGAAGTTATTCAGGACCGACGCAGACAATAGTACCGAGGCTGACTATCTGGCTTTGATACTCGCCCATCACTACTACTTCATGCTGTCCGCGTCCGTGTTGTATCTCACAAAGAGGAAAACGCTCGGCTGAAATCATATCATGGAGGATTTGGGTGAGTATTTGTGCCGTTCGTTCGTTTCAAGCGGTGTAACTACATGTTGAGATATCTTGAGGGGATCTTTGGGAAAGGGGTGGTGTGCCCAAACAGAGGAAGTAAGGTCCCTGTTGATTCTGGCAGTCTTAGTAGAGTACAAGCTTTCCCTTTTCCCAAGGACATGAAAGAGGCTGTAATATAATGGGATTTTTTATTGGCTGCCATTGGGTTATAAGATGTTAAGGCAGAGAAAAGCAGTGGGAATTCCTTATGTATAACTGTCATTCAACTTTTCATTGAAGGTTTTTTTTTTCTGATATGACATCATATGATATCTGTTAAGAGTAATTCTCCTTGATGTAATGTATATTCTTAACTCTTATCTTCTCCACAGTGTGCTCACATCCTGTAAAGATGTTGGATATATCATTTCAAGAAATGTGTTTTACCTTGCCAAGCATACAGGCCACACATGCACACATACTTATACAGGTAACATAAGAACTGGTAATACTCTGCTCTATATCTGCCTGACCGCCATGGAGTGTTTCATGCACGCATGGCCTGCAAATTCAATAAATTCTTTGTAAATTAGATTTAAAGGGATCCACAGCAGCCTCCATCCATTAATATTAACAAATCAGGGATGGAGAGACAGCGTGTCTTCCATTTTGAAGGGTAGGAGACATGAAAGAGAAGTGTGTCCAGCATCAAGGAGTATGACTGGCTCTCTCTTTCTACTGATAAAGATGTGGAGGGAAGAATTTTTTTTTTTTTTCTCTTTCTCAGAACAACATTATGAGAAGCTTTGTGTTTGGGGAATAGCAGTGTTGGAGAGGCCCTGAAATAGCCCAGGGCAACATTGCTATTTCAAAAAGCCACAGAGTTCAATGAAAATAGAAAGGCCTTTTGCTTCAGCTGCCCATTTGCTCGCTCAGGAACTTTTTTTTTTTTTCATGAAGTCCACTTCAGAACTTGGGAATTTATGCTTTTAAAGCAATTCTATAAGGAAAGGCCAGATGTAGCCAAGCACATCTGGATTGGATTGCACACAGTGAGACCGAGTGACTGGGTGAGTGTTAGTGAGGCAGTGGCCATGTTCAGCACGCTCAGTTTATGCTGCTGCCCCGACAATGTTGTAAGTTTATGTATTGGATCTGGCGAGGCTTTCGGTGAGAGAGACCACTTGTTAGAGAGGTCTTTGGCCAAGACAAACAAGTCGGCAGGCAGCTCTAAATATGGTCATAATTCCCATTGAGAGAAGTTCAACTCCTTATATGAGCAGTTCAGTCTGTACAAGTATGTGTGTGTGTGTGTGTGTGTGTGTGTGTGTGTGTGTCTGTGTATGTGTGTATGTGTGTGTAAGAGACAGAGACACACAGCAGGGAGGAGGAGGGCAAGTAGTATATGCACAAGGTTCTCACCACATGCTCGTACCAGAAGTGTGAATCATCTGGGACAGAAGTGACCACTGGGATGAGCTAAGGCTCTGTAAACTGGTTATGTTTATGTTTAACATGTCTACCATAACCGTGATGGCCCCAGATGTTTGAAACACAACTTCACCAGAATGAAAAACTTGTTCAAACATTCATCAAACAACCATGAAAAATCTGAGAAGCTGAGGGTCGGTGCTTATTCTTGTGCCCCAGACCTTATCACTCCAGATCCTGCATCTATTGTCCTGCCGACGTGTGGTTATTCCTTCGTCCTTAACTGGTTTTATGCCTGAACTAGACCAGTGATTCCCAATTAGAGGTACTTGTGCCCCAGAGGGAACTTCAGCAGTTGCTAAGGGGGGGGTCCATTTACTGTCACAATAACTGATAAACCACCAGCTATAATCCAACTGCACAGGACATGCTTCCCAGCAACCTCAGTCAGCTGTAACATCTTAAAAGAACATGAGACGTGACTGACTGTTCCTGAAAACCAGTTGGGAGAGGTGGAAACAGATCGCTAAAACACATGATCAAATCTGATGACAAAAACAGATAAGGAGACAAAAACCTTAACATCAACATCCGAAGTCAGTGTGCCGTGTATGAAAAAAATGATATGGAGTATGATGGATTTTAGCCTCTTAATTAAAACTCTAACAATAGCCACTTTTATCCAGTATAATTAAAAGGATCCTACACCAATTTCCCTCATTAGGATCAGTTTATTAGTCACGAGGAGTGATATTCAGTCTACAAAAACAGTTGTATAATGAACTCACATCATATTGGAGTTATCGTGATTACAAGTGCCGTTCACATCAACGTCCGTGTCGTAATTACGACTAGAAATTTGGATTTTTCTGAAAGCTTCATTCCATCCAAGTGCCCTATTTTGGTCTCTGCTGCACCGATTTTAACTGCTTTTTTTTTTTTTTTTTTCAAACTATCTCTCTTAAATCCCACAACTTTTAAAATTGCTGGATTGCCCCTTTAATGATGTTAAATAACACCCCATTTAAAATGAGGTCAGCTGGACTGCTTTGGACCATGATGGTCGGTTTCAATAATTTATTATTTGAGCTCCCCTGACAGGGGATCTGATTGGGAACTTTATAAAGGAGCGGGAATGTCACCAATATTTAAATTTAACAGCCCCAAAACGAATGGTTAGTGCGGTATCAGCATGTGAAAAGTAAAGTGAGCACTTCCCTGGGAAAAACAGTGAATTTCAGCCAAGACTGCAGCCTCTCCGCTACAGCATCGAGTTTGTAATTACTCATGTTCAGTCCACTTTTCACACACTCTGCTTTGGCCTTTAGTCGCACGTACATGGACTTGTCAGCACTAAATGATGTCATACAGCTGCACAGCCGAACGCTTGAGAGAG